TTTATAGATGTATGCGAGTTTGTACATGTTTCTATGCTATGTTTGACTATGACTTGACAATGGCTTGGCAGTTGATGCTTGAACTACATATTTCCGCTCACAATATCAATTTTAATTTTCTGCAATCTCTCAAATTGACATGCAGAAAAGGAAGTATGCAAAGGTAATTGCTAATATAAAAGTAGCGCAAGAATAGGTTAAAAAAATTAAATTTCCCAATGGATAGCAGCTTAGCGTTGGTAGTGAGTGAGACATCTTAATATAAGAGGTCAAAAGATAACTCCCCTTTTCTGAGGAATGTACGTAAACACTTACATATGTATATAGGCAATCTATGTGCTGTGGGGTATACGTACGGTGACCATTCGTACCGATTTTGAGGTACATATTGATTATGACTGCTCATGACAAAAGATTGTGTTCATTCAGAGCCTGCTATAGTTTTTATAATGAAAAAATGTGTCTCCAAACTGAAAGTTAAACTTTCACGTCCGCTTGAACCAGTTGAAAGTTAAAAAAAAAAAATATCTTTTTATGAATATGTACATATGTATGTACGTCTCAATAAATCTAATGAAATTAACCACCATAATAATAGCAATAAATATATCGTCACCTGAAATGCAAAAAGTCATAACTAATAAAAAATGCTAAATTAACTTTTTTGATTGATATGAAGGATTTTATCGAATAACAACTCCCCATATCATTTTATGAATAAAAATTTAAAAAATATTAGCCACGACTTTTTCCATTTCATTTACGATGTTGTTGTTACGGCTTTTTGCATTTCCGGTGACGATGTGTACATTAGGGCGGGTTGATTTGTATGGATGAAAAAAAAATTAAAAATCGTATAGCAAAAACGTTATCTACATTAAATTCTAAGAAAATTCTCTGAAGAAACCATGGGTCTAAAATCAAACCCTAATCCGCGCCTCTCGACTTGAAACTCTTTTTCCTCTTCTTTCGCTAAATTTATTTTCTTTTTTTTAAATATTTTATGTTTTATTATATTATAGTTTATGCAATACAGGTTTTGTTTTGAGACTAATCAAAATATTCAATTATCAAAAAAGCAGTTGAACCCCAATTTGCATCTCCTTTGATTTGCGTACTTGGGTGAATATTTTGAGTGTAGAAAAAATATAAAATGCAAAAGAACTACCTTACTAAATAATTTTATTCAGAAAATTCGATTTTTTTATTGGAAAATCCAATTTTTTCTAACATTTATTTTTTTGGCAAAGGCGGCCATATAAATTTCCAAGTCGAGAGGCGCGGACTAGGATTTTATTTTAGATACATGGTTTCTTCGGAGAATTTTCTTAGAATTTTATGTAGTTTACTTTTTTGCTATACGATAAAAAAAAAGAAAAAAATCAACCCGCCCTAATGCACATACATATTTTTCGAGCCCTTTCATTTACACTTGCAATTATATAAGAGCACCTCGAAAGATAAACCGCGGAAATAAAATGTGCAAAGCCCTTTTCAAATATGATTTTTTTATTACTTTTTAAATGAATTGATTTTAGACACAATCGCTGAACAGTTGCACAAATCGCAATTGAAGTCGCTTGTACAGCAGTTACAAGGCGATAACGAACCAATGCGGAAATCATAGACACCACCCAAGCATTTACATACATACATACATACGTGTACCGTCTCAACACGAATGAAGCGCGCAATCTAATCTGATGTAACAGCATTCCAATCTATGCGTTTTTTTCTATTCGAATGAGCAAAATAGTAGTTCATATCGTTGCGTTTCCTTTCGTTTGATTGTACGGCGGTAGAGTGCATCGCTCACGCATTGAGTGCATATTTTAAAATTTACAAATGCCACCAACTGTGTGGACAGTACGAGTACAGTTATTGCCAGAATATGTACATAGAAATGTACATACATAGAACACAGCATAGCATAGCGCAGCACACAAGAACAAGAACATAAAGTCAACGCTTTTATGGCTTCATTCATATATACACACGTATGCAGTCGTAGGCGAGTTCCAAAGTTCGCTTTTGTACATTTGCAGTGTGAAACACAAAAAAAAAATTTACACGATTTTCAACATTTCCTAAATTTTTTTCTTCCTTTCTTTCTTTTCATCCCCACATACATATGCCTTGGTCGAAATGGCTGCTTTGTATTCCGCAATCGTCGTGATTCTACTCCACCTACTACTCAACTACTACTACTACTACAACAACAACTACATGCATATCAACATTTGCACCATTGCTCTTGCAGCCAAGCGCCAATTATAAGGCAGAAAAAGTTATGTCAGATAAACTGAATTTCCCAAAACACACCGGCATACGGGAGGCCTCACTGCTGGTGATGAAGGAGAAGTGCGGACGCTATACGCTGATACGTGAGCCATTGTATTTGGACAGATGCGTTGTGTGCAGTGAAGCGGACTGGGATGATTATTTCGAGGTGCAGGAAATCTCATCGAAGGACACTTTCATATTCAAAGTGAGTATTTGTAATACAAAAAAAAAAACCAAACGGAAACAGTTTTGTAATAAAACAATTGATAGTTCAAAAAGTGATAAAGAGAAGTAAAATATGAACTTTTAGGCGTAGTAGAAAATTGTTTGAGGGGGTCCACAACATAGACGTAATAGCGGCCCCCGTGTATGCCTTAGAGAGCGCATTATTACATTTTAACTTTTCTTTCAGAAACAAATATGTACGCTATTGTTTATTTATTGGAGTACATATTATTTTCTGCTTCTTATTTTATCACTTCACATAGTAGGAGCCGAAATTTGCCAATTTAAGTAAAACTGCGGACCAGACTTCCTTCCAAGTCGAATGGAGAAGAGTGCCACGTTGTAAGGAACCCCTTATTTAAAAAATCGCTCTTTAATAATTATTTTTTGACTTTTATTTAATTACTCCTTAAATAACCATTATTTCTAACTTTTATTAGATAAATCGAAAATAACAATTATGTGTGATTTTTATCTAAATAATCTGCAAATAACAGTTATTTTTGATTTTTAAATTATATGTCTTAGATAATAGTTAAAGGGGATTTTTATTTATAAAAGGTATAAATAAAAATCAGTTAATGACCTTTATTTTTCCAATCATACTTATAAAAGTCATTTGTAAAAGTCGTAGTAAACTTTTGTTTACTGTTTAATGACTTTTATACGAATGATTTAAAAAATAAAAGTCGCTGACTGATTTATATTGATGACTTTTAAAAGTAAAAGTCTCTGACTAATTTTTATTGATGACTTTTATAAATAAAAGTCTTCTATGATTGTTATCTAAGACATATAAGTAAAATAAAAATAAGTGTTACTTGTTTTAATTTTGCATAAAAATTTATTTTCAAATTTGTGTCTCAGTGAAAAAAGAAATCAATTGGTATATATCACTTAGTTATAGAACATTTCCTTCTTAGTGAATTTTTCCATGGCAGTTTTCATCAAGAACTGTTATTATCGGTCCCTGATCTTCTGGTTTACTTTTCTTAAGGCGCAAATAATTACTTCCCCTACTACACGGCAGTTCGCACGGCTCTTATTATAGCAAATCTTTCGTCTCTTTATTGATTTTGAATAACTATTTAGCTCTCACTATCCTCCGTCGGATGTCTACGTGAAGTATCTTTCTATACTGCATTCAGTATAATCCGGATTTGTTCCCGTAATAGGCGGAGAGCATACACCGAGTTCAACACACACGGGATCCACAGTTACCTCCTCCTTTAAAAGCGTGGGGATCAGAAGTCTGACTACCACCTCTAGGCGCACGTTGTCTCCTAGTCTTTGGTGATTTGGAATCACTCTCTACTGCCCTTTTAGCCTTCCGATGTCATTGGTCCTTCGCACACTGACGGACTGAGCACGTCTAAAACCGGTTTTGCACAGGCAAGAGGGGGAAGAGAGTGCGAGTTTACTTCGTCCATTTTAGTCCGCGAAAATCGCGGATTGATATTTTACTGACACGCATGCATAGACAATATCTTTTGTGTTTCGTTTCCGCTCCCTTTATGCATTCCTCTGATCATTAGTCCCAGTAACTCGGTCTCTTCAAAAATCTGTTTTTCTGAAGCTATCTGTCGATAGGGGTCACTAAGGTCATGCCACACCACCCAACTCAGCGGAGTGGTTCGAGTGACCATCTACGCCCACCTGTCTATCAGCTTGTCCACTGCCCCTCGACTTAGGCAGCTTTGAAGTCGACGGCCTGTCGCAATCGCCTTGCTCTTGTCTAGCGGCCATCGAGGACGGCAGTGGAACTACGTCCAATCTGGCATCACTGTCGTCTCCCTTGCTAGGGCTGCGCCAAAAGCTCCATGACGCCTAATGCTCAATTGTATTTCGACAGACCGTTCTGCCACTCTCTCTTTCGCACTTTGTGGACCAATCGCTCTGCTTTAAGAAATAGGCCGGCTGTAACTGAAAATTGTCATTAGCCACATCGTTCTTTGGAATATGGCTGGAGAGATTGCTTCAAAATTCCGGAAATTTATAAGACTGGAAATATCATAGTTTTGTGTAGAATTTTTATTGAGTAATCTGCCAGGTCCATTAGATGCTCCAATATGTCAGAAATTCTTTCAGTTTCCCCTCCTCCATACTTCTGGAACTGCATATGTTGAGGTGATTTTCCAGACACTAACGAGTCCGTTCTATGAAGGCTTCGAGAAGTTTTTGTACCGGTTTGTCCCTTATACGAGTAACATCTAAACAAGAAAAAAAATTTCTAACAGCGGTTACCCCTCGCAAGGCAGTGGCAAACCTTCGAATGTATGTATGTATTTCTGCTTTGAAACTATTTAACGTCCGGAAGTTGCACAGCACAAACTGGCGGCGAAGCTCGGCCTTGCGCTAAGCAAAGTGTAGCGCCAAAATATTACTTTTATTGGTGGTTTTATATTAAAACTGTGTAAAACTCAATACTCACTGATAACACTGTAGAGGCACTTAAATGACAAAAAAACGTTAACTAAATGTTTGGGTCGTAGATTACGAATCTGTATACCACTCTTATAGATCAGGTAATTTTCATTTTAAATTTGCATTGCGAATAAAAAAAAGACTCAAACTTTAACATGGAAAATGTTACTTATACGTACGGTGACCATTCGTACCGATTTTGGCGGGACAGTACCGATTTTGAGACATTTAGATTTATAAATCCTGTCCTGTCCTGTGTATTGCTTATAGTGGTTCTGCAACATATAAAAAATACACATAAAATTTTATATTTTTTTTGCAAAGGGGTTTGGTTATATAATATAATAAAAACACAAAACCTTGACAAATGTTTTTGGTTTTTTAAATGAAACTTTTTATATATTCATAAGCAGAATTTCATGACGAACAAACCAAAAAATCATAGACGTTCAAATTTTATATCAGTTCACATTTAAGGATTAATAATAATAATAATAATAGATTGGCGCTTACACATATGTTAGTGTGTGGCCGAGCTTCTCCTCCGATTTGTGGCGTGCGCCTTGATGTTGTCACACAAAGAGGAGGGGCCTACAGTTTAACGCCGACTCCGAACGGCGATTGTATTTTTACGAGAAGCTGTTTTTCATGGCAGAAATACACTCGGGGGTTTGCCATTGCCTGCCGAGGGACGACCGCTGTTAAGAAAAAACCTTTTTTCTATTATTTTTTTTCGATGTTGCTTTTACCAGGGGTTGAACCTAGGCATTGCGGAGTGGAAGCGCGCACTGCTTACCACTACACCACAGCGGATTAACGAATAATAATATGCCGTAAAAAATTTGTTAGCCCACCCAACTAAATTCGGTCATCAAATAGTTAATTTAATAGGGGTCATCCTTTACTCTGCCCCAAAAGGCATTTTTCGGACAAATATGGTAGCACATTCGTTATCACAAAGAACATTGAATATAAGGGAACCATAAACATACATAGCATCGTTATTTTCTTTGATCTTTGGTTATGTGTTATTCTATCAAATTGGTCCTCTCGCTATATAGCAGTCATTATTATTTTAAATAAAACTGTATTATAAGATGTAATGTCTTTTTATTCTAAAAACAAAATTGTATGTTCGGATTTAATACTTTGGTAATGCACTGATTTTTGCTCACAGAAATCTGGTCACCGTACTTATACGCCATGTACGAGTATGTACAGTAGGACCCGGTACGATGTGGCGTATGAGTAACATTCTAACCTTTCGCTATTTCATACAAAAAATTATTGCACATTTTCATTTAACCATTCAAAACTTGTTTATTTATTAATCGGTTCTCATTGCTAGTAGCTTGATTTTTAGGCAAAAGAAATACAATTTTAAAAAATTACAAAAGTTTTGTTTTTTTTTTTAATTTTGTCCTTGTTAAAATTTGAATATTTTTTTCATAAAAATTAAAATATCTTAGGAAAATGACTTGATCTGGAAATCCTCAAACTCAAGCTCACGTTTCTCGACGCTTTTTTGTGTAATTTCAAAACTTAAGATTTTCCTTACGGTGTAATCTTAGGTTCTTTGATGGCCCTCTCTGAATAATCTAATTCTTTCAAAATCACTCTAAAAAATTTTTACTAAAACTGCTGGAAAGGAATTATTAAACAGGCTCGCTTAAAAAAAAACCCATATTAAGGAAAGTAGAGGGTCGCCTTTGGGTAAAGCCCCCATCTGACTTGTGGTCGACCAGAGTCCTTGATAAGAGCATCTAAAAAGCCAATAACGAAAAGAATTAATTACTAATATGTCTAATTAACTCTAAAATTTCTCATGAGTCAATTTTTTCAATGTTAAAGCAAATAATTATTAATTTTGTTTTTTCACTTTCAGGCCGAGGATGGTGTTCGTACCAAGCAATGGTACACCCAACTGCAATATCACGCTCAGGGTATGGGCGCTTGGCGTAAACGACGCAATGCTCTTGCCAATATTATGATCAATGGAATGCTGACACGTACCTAAATCGAAGGAAGTATAATGGAAATGAAATATATTCAAACGCAATTCAAGTTAACTGCCTTAGCACTAAGTATCTTAAGCTTAGAGCGAACGATGTGAAGCGGTGAAGTTTTCAACGAAATAAGCGAAATAAATAAATAGTAATTAAGAAACGTAAAGAAATATAAAGAACTTTAAAATATTAAAGAAAAACTGCAAAATTTATGTAAACAAAAAAAAAATGCAAATGTAACGAAAACTGTTTTGCAAAAAAAAACGCAAAGAAGCCATTCCTTTTGATTAGAGGTAATTCAAGTTTCTTTGTATTTATTAAGTAGCGCGCAGCAGTGAATGCATTTTCAATAAATATTAAAGTACTTTTAAATTAGATTATAGCCATTTATTGGATTTATAAATATGTCTTAAATATTTCTTGTACTACCATAGTTGTAGTTGCATTTCGCTGATAATAAAATTACTAAAAATATATGCATTTAAAAATATTTTTGCATAAAATGCTGTTCGCGCCTCTTTGGACGAAAGTAGTTAGTAATAAAAAAAAATAAAAAATCGATTTGTTTAAAACTTTATTTTATTAAATTTCAAAATTATTATCTTTTTTAACTTTACCATAAACAATTGTAGGTGTATTGAAATTTTATTCAAACGCTGCTTGTAAATTGCAAGTGATCTAGTTTTTTAGCCTTTTGATTTAAAGCATAAACTTTATAAAAAAAAAAATATTTGTTTATCGTTATAACTTACCCAAAAATATATAAACCACATAATAATACATTTATTTTATATGCATATATTAACATTATCTTAATCGGTATACAAATATATTAAAGCACACACACACACACACATATACACAAATGTGACTCTGTAAAAGTGAAGCAATAAAATAAATAAACTTAAAATTATAAAAAAAAAATTATTTTTTTGAATACTTGTTGTTCAATCCTCTATCAGCCTATCCGCTGACTACCTTTAATTTACTTCTTTGATAAAAATCTAGTAGACGTTACTTAATTTCACTTTCCCATATTCTACACGTCTACTGCGCTAAGCTGAGTGAAATTGATAATAAATCTTAATAAGATTTATTATTTTCCAATATATGCTGATAGAGTGAGTAGAGTTCGCGATAGATTTTTTTTTTGCATATTTTTGCCAAAAAATAAATTTTGTTTCATAAACCTCTTTCGATTGACACTCACATCTAAATATTTCATAAAAATTGTCTATGAGTTAACTAAATTCGACTTTTCAAAACGATGAAAATCCTTTTCAATACTATTTTCAAACTAAAATCCTCTTAAATGTCTTTCTTCTGTCATTCTGATACATATGTTTTTCAATAAACTGATGAACTAAGTTGAATTTTATTGTTGAAACACGTGGGAACTCTCCTAAATAAACGTCAGAAATAAAAAGTTTTCATTTCGATTGATACCCGCCCTATTATAAATCATTTAACTTATTAAATAATCAAAATTTTGCTTTTCAAACGAAATATTTCTTAATACTCTTCCGTTTGATACCCATATTTCATATAACCTATGTAGTAGTTAACTAAGTTCGACTTTTCAAACAGGTGGTAGCCCTCATCAAAAGCATTTTCAAGCTAAAACCTCTATTAACTCTCCTTCGTTCGAAATTGCGATACAAATTTTAATTAACCGCTGAATTAAGTTGAATTAGATTATCTAAACATGTGGCAACCCCGTTATATATAGTTCAGAAATAGAGATTTTTCAAACACCCTTCGATTGATAGCCATACTTTAATAACTCATTTAATTTATTAAATACTTTGAATTTAACTTTTTAAACAGGTGGCAACCCTCTCCCCACATCTCAAAAAAATTGTTCAAACTAAAGATTTTTTAACACTCTTTCGTTTGGCATCCATATATTCATATTTCAGATAACTTATGTATAAGTTAACTAAAATCGACATTTCAAGCTGGTGGCAACACTGTTCACAATATTTTAAAACTGCTAGCTTCTAAAACTCTTTTCGGTTGGCACCCATATGTGGATACAAATTTCCCTTACCAAATTCCCTTGATTCCAATTGAATTGGAATTTTTAAACAGGTGGCAACCCTCCTATAGTTCATTTCGATTGATACCGATTTTGTAATAATTGGTTTATTTTTTTTAATAATTTGAACATAATTAAAAAAAAGTTGGCAACTCTTTTCAAAAAAGCGAAACCTTATTGGACATCTTCACTCCAGGTCTTTTAATTTGATACCTCATTTTGGAACATCGAACGAACGGCGCGCATCTTTTATCCTGGACAAAAAATGCCTTCGCGTATTATATATCGACTGCTGAGTGGAAGATCGACCTATCTCGACAGCCAGTTCGAAAACGCCCTACCTCAAAAGCTTTTCTCGAACGCCCTATTTCAGTATTTTATTGAAAAACACCCTATCTCAGAATTCGGTTCAAAAACGCCCTACCTCACTTCAAAATGCATTGAAAATGTGATGAGAAAGGTGACAAAGAGTTTCACTGGTAAATTCTTAGATTAATTGCAATTTCTCTGGTTGTAGCGCTAAGTCCGCCTACTGGGTGGTGCAGAGTTGTTCGCAACTTCTGTCATCACTTTTTCATTTACTTTGTATACCTTCAAAATCTCCATCAGATATGAGTGAGGTACGGAATTATTATTAATATTATTACCATTTCACCTCCCTTTATCAATTTCTCTAGCAATCATTTACGGCGCATTTTCAATTTGAAAGCACAGTTAGAATAAATCCTAAAAGCTGCAATTCAAATGCAACAACTCGTACTTTACATTTCTTGTTTGCACACAAATTGTTATTTATTTAGTACGGTATTTGTTAAGCTCTTTCACACTTGGTCAACTGTTACAATCATAAATAATAAATACAGCTTTCACATGACAGAACTTACATTGCATTGCAGTAATACTTCGGAAATAACTGTCTAAAATTCAACTAACTAAAAAGTATTCATGCATTTATCCATCTATGTGTGTATACATTTTCCATGTCCAGCAGTTGTAAGCAGCCGGTGCGAAGTAGTTTACCTTTTTCTACGAATATTTATTAAAATTGATGCAAATAAAAACAAACAATTGCACCATCAGCGTCCATGTCATGTCAGAGCAGACCGCTGCTATGTATCACCTTTAGGCAAACCATCACCATCCCAAACGATCCAAATACACGAATGGCGCTTCCTATGCTTCGTTTTATACTTGAACATTCATAAATGTCATTTAACACGTTGCACATTTTCAGGCGTCATAACAAATTGTTGCACTTGCAGCAAATGAAAAAAATGAATCAAAATAACAAAAACATCCAAAAGATGTCGCTTGCAACTATTGTTCACACTTTTGGGCGTTTGTTTTTTGTGCCTGCTTTTGTTGTTTTTGCTCCTGTCAACACCGGCTGTCAGCAAGGCTAGGGCTCTTTGCTTGTGTTAGCTGGCTGCCAACCTACCTTCCTACCTGAATAGTTGTTGGTATATATGTAAACGTACCTTTATGTATTTAGTTTTTTATTTTTTGCGCTTTCCAGAAAATGAACATTGCAACGGAACATTTGTGTTGACAGCGGCGCGAAAATAAAATTCCAAAAAATAACCAACACCAATGTTGAAGCGAAAATGGTGACATTTGGAAACAGCAGTAATGGTGCTGAGTGCCACTGCCAACTTACAATCCAAATTATAAAAAAAAAAGAAATCAAAGGGTAGCGAGAGCACTTACTTTTTATTTGATATTTTAGACAACAGTTGTTGCAATTAAATAGAATGCCACGAATCTCAGACGATTTTAATTTAAAATTTTTATTGACTTGAAATTTCTTGGCAATGCAATTTTTTGGCATTGCACCTGCGAACTAAATAGTCACTCGAGATGAAATGTACAGTGCTTGGCGAATTGTAACATGAAGAAAGGCTTCAAACCAGGGTTGCTAGCGGTATGGTTCCCGCATATCCTCCCTCACCAGCCGAGGGAGATGAAGGTGTAAACATCACCTGATTTCCAGGAAAGTGAGGCTCTAGATGAACAGAGGATGTCTCAATAGTAGTCTCCATTAAAGAGCAGCTTGGTGGTTTGGCCCTTTTTAAAAACTTTTACCAGCGTAGCCGTTTGACTCAAGGTTTCAATCCCGCTGTAGTATTTAAAAAAAAAAGAGGCCTCCTTCGCAGAGCTAATTATACTACGGCACGCAATTCGCTCTCTCATTTGTAACTGGCACTGTAAACAGTGAAGCCAGTTCCCCCTGTGGGCGGTATTCTTTGCTCCACAGCCTTGAGCCAATTCCAGTTAGCTTTGGAGAGGCATTTCACCATTATGATTCCATCCCTCTCTTATAAACGAGCATTGGCTACAGTGCTGGAGGCTCAGATCAGATGGATCTTGCAGTGTTTAATTTCAGCTGTAGTCATCTGCCTACTACGGAAATGAGCGAAGGGCCTTTTACGGGTTCATAGCAATTTGGTCGAGCCCCCACACCTCCAGACGCAGTTGATGGTTCGAGGGTATAGCGAGGGCAGTTCTGCCTCGACCGACACTTGCATCACTTCTACCTTTTCACGATTGTGATGGACGGAAAGCAAGCTTCCAGTTTCCGAGCCGTATGTAAAATTCAAGGACTAACTATTAGCCCGGATCACCAACTTATTATTGATGCCACACACACTAAAGAAACATTGTGGCGGGAACTCTTCTACTAAAGCTGGATAATTTTGAGAACAGTTTTTTCAACAACTGTTAACTTGCCTATTACACTACTACATATATATAGGTACGTATTTCAGCTGTAGTCATCTGCCTACTACGGAAATGAGCGAAGGGCCTTT